TTCCTTTTAATCAAGCAATCCAACACTTCCTTCAAGCAATGAATCAAATCACCACAATCATCTCTTGGATAATCACCTTCCACCAATAGGGCATTCCTTATTTGCCCACCAATCGCAACCATTTCCATTCTTGAAGGACTCAGTTGGAGTGATTTTAGGGTTCGGATAATGTCACTAAGACGATCTGATCTGATCGGTCATTACAACATATTGAAGCCTTGATTACTATTCTTCCATCGCTTTGAATGTTATTCAACGAGATTATTATTCTTCCATCACTTTGACCTATCTTCATCTTCTTCACACTTCTTCATCCAAAACTATTCTTTTCAAAAAATGGAATTAGAATACCTGCAGAAAAGGGCAGAAGTTCATTCAGATTATAATTGGGTTATGACAGTGGAGCTTGGGAAGAACATAAGGATCAATCAGAAGGATGAAATGGAAACAGGTGATAACTATCCCATTGTTTCATAAATTAAAACCCTGTATGAAATCTTTCCTTCGCCATTATTATTTATTCGAAGCCTTCATATGAAGTTGATTTCTAAAGACAACCATCGAGTTTGGGTTTGAAATTGAAGCTTGGGTTTGGGTTTAGTTAAAATTAAAAATCGGACCTTTTACAACTAGATGGAATTGATTTCAAAAATATATTTCATTGCCTCTCGTCCTCCTTCCTCCGGGTTCAGAATATAAATATGGTGTGTTAATGTGTTTGAAGAACAAACCCAAATAGATTTCTTCCAATAATCAAGCCCGGTTTGTATATTTTTGCCTCTTCTTCCTCGTTCTAAAACCTGCAACTCAAAACCCCCATCATTTAGGATTCTCTGTGTGCGATTTCATGATCTCCACCGCCGTTTTGGTTGAATTTAGCTCTAAATTTCACTGGTTCGTATTGCAGACCTAACCCACTGTACAAATATGATTTGGGTTTCTCTTTTTTCATTTACGGGTTTAGTGGATGGTGATTGGTAAGGTCTAACGATGTATATTATTTAAGCAGCAGATGAATTAAAAAGAGACTATGACGAAGAGAATGCGAGTGTATGGGGGTGATGTTCTTTGAAGTTCTCATGAGAGAGAGAGAGAGAGAGAGATGGGTCCTCTATTATTTTTTTAATTGTTAAAATAAATAAATGAGTTTTAAATTAAAATAAATAAAAGAAAAATATAAAATAAATACCCCAAGGGTATTATAGTCTTTACAATTTTTGGAGGGATTATTTTTACATACAAACCACTCCAAAAGGACCATTAATCCAAAAAACGCGGGGTTTGGACTAAAACCCCAAAAATTTGCATACCACATGGATCATTTTTGCAATTTTGTCTTATTATTATTATTTTTTCGTATTGTAGATTCTTGCAACTACTTTACCCTTGTGAAACATATAGTTATTTTAAGAAGTTTCAAAAAACATGGCTATTGTTGAAGCATGAATGCATTATCCTTGATAAAAATACATTTATTAGAACTTGGTGAAATCAGTTCTCTCAACACCTTATTGGGAAGCTACAATACAAAACCCACAAAGCAGACCACTTTTCCAGACAACAAACACGAAAAGATCCATCTTGCTTGCTTCCTTGTCCATTTATCACTTTCTGAAGCAAGAAGCCTATTCCCCTACAAAATACAATAAAACTATTAATGTAATACAAAGAAATGAAAGCATCTATTCTTTCATATTTTTGGAATTTGTGTGACATTGGTGTAAGCATCTGTTATATACTTTTTTTTTATATTTGCGTGACTTTAGTATACGTATATACTTTTAATCGTTATGCTTGTAAGCTTTTATTAAAAGAATGATTTTGATTAATGGTGTTGTTATTATTGATATCTTTCTTGCTAATCTTTTATTATTCCCTGATTACACCTAGTTTTTGATATTTGCGTGCAGATATAATAAAATGAGCAATAGAAATAGAAATTGGATGTATGAACGACTTGATGATCGTGGTCATGTCTCTCATGTTTTCGTTAATGGTGTGAAAACATTCATCGACTTTGCTTCTACTAAGCAAAGTTATATGGATGGAGATAAAATTAAATGCCCATGCACAAAATGCAATAACAAAGCATATAAAGCAGTTGATGAGGCAAAATATCACTTATACAAGTTTGGTTTTGTTCCAAATTATGGGTTTTGGGATAAACATGGAGAAACATCATTGGATAGTATTTCCTTAGGGATGAATGATACATACACGAGTTTAAATGAACACCATGATCCTACTTATAGAGAAATGATTATAGATGCAGCAGGTCCTGATTTCATGACTAGAACTCTTGATGGGAGCCAAATCCAGAAGATAATAAGTTTTTTGATATGCTAGAGGCAGCCGATAGAGAGTTGTGGCTTGGTTGTAAAAAGGCGACACAACTATCTGTTGTAGCTCGACTATTGAATATCAAATCAGAATATCGCATCCATGAGTTATGTTTTGATGCCATTTGTCAGTTGATAAAGGATGGGTTACCAGAGGAGAATAACATGGTTGATAGTTTATACGAGAGCAAAAAGTTAATACAAGCATTGGGTTTACCTATGGAATTGATTGACTGTTGTAGGTCTGGATGTATGTTATATTGGAGGGGATACAAAGATCTTGATCGGTGCAAATTTTGCAACGCACAGAGGTACAAAAAGTCAAGAAATTCGTCTACACGTTCACGTATACCTTTCAAGAGGATGCATTATTTTCCTTTGACTCCAAGGTTGAAGAGACTATACGCTTCACAAACAACAGCCGCTTCCATGCGATGGCATGCTGATAATCATGGCCACCATGCCGGTGTAATGTGTCATCCATCTCATGCCGAAGCATGGAAGCAGTTTGATATTAACCATCCTTCATTTGCAGCCGAAAGACGTAATGTTAGATTAGGCCTATGTAAAGATGGGTTTCAACCCCATGGTGCTTCAGGAAAACAATATTAATCTTGGCCTGTCATTATAACACCTTATAATTTGCCACTGTTTATGTGTATGAAAGAGCCATACATGTTTTTAACTGCAATTGTGACCGGGCCTACAAACCCTAAGCAAAAACTAGATGTCTTCCTTCAACCAGTTATTGCAGAACTCAAACAGTTATGGGAAGAAGGTGTTTTAACTTATGATGTTTCTTTGAAACAAAATTTTCAATTAAGAGCTGCATTGATGTGGACAATTAGCGATTTTCCGGCATATGGAATGTTATCAGGATGGGCAACCGCAGGGAAGCTAGTATGTCCATATTGTGGGAAACATACACAAGCTTTTAGGCTTGAAAATGGTAAGAAGATATCATGGTTTGATTGTCATAGAAGATTCCTCACCACGGATCATCCATATAGAAAAGATAAAAATAAGTTCAAAAAGAATCGTGTAGAGACAAAAGGTCCTCCTCCAAGTATGAATGGTGAAGAAACCATAAGGCAAATCGAAGAACTTGGTTTGTTAAAAGTGATTGAGCTTAATGCCGACGTAGTAAATAAATCACGTGGCAAATGTATCGAATAATGTTTTATGTTAAATTTGTAGCGACTTTTAATTTTGAAATATGTATCTTTTTGATGTATTGGATATTTCTTTTAGTTTCTATAGAAATACTTTGTTATTTTTGGTTTTATATTAATTGTATTTTTGTAAATTGATATAATAACTCAAATTAAATAACCGAATTTTATAGAAAAAATGGTATTGAGCGATTGTTATAGAATTGACTACAAAAAAGTTGTTACGGAATGAATGGCTACGAAATTTGTTACGGAACGAATTACTACAAAATTTGTTACGGAACAATTAGTTACGAAATTTGCTATGGACCAAATGGCTACAGAATTTGCTACGCACCAAATGGCTACGAAATTTGCTACGAACCAAATGGCTACGGAATTTGCTACGGACCAAATGGCTACGGAATTTGCTACAGAACAAAATAGATATGGAATTTGCTACAGAACTCATTGTTACGGAATTGTGATGGAAGTGTGTTGTAGTTGAAATGCTATGAATAGACGTCATAGCAACGGCCATAGCAAAATTGCTACGGAACTCTAATTTTGTAGTTAAACATTTTGCTACAAGAAATCTTACTATGAAATTTCATTGGCAAATTCCGTAGCAACTTCCGTAGTTATTTAGGTTTAGCTATGGAATTACATCATTTTGCTACGAAATTTTTCCGTAGTTAAATCGAAATTTTCTTGTGGTGGGAGCTACCTCCGCGGAACTCCGCGGAATGGATCTTGAGTTTTTTTTTTTTATAATATTTAATACCTTAACTTATTTACGATTTTTCCATTCCGCGGAGCTACAGTAGATTCCGCATAGCTCCGCGGAATTCATTGTCTATACCCCGGAAATGTCCATTTTTATATCTAAATTTTGAAAATACCCTCTATTTTTTACTATTGCCCGTATTTTCTCCAACATTGGACGAGAGAGACAAGACAGGTAGATGGAGGATTGTTGCTGTCATTTTGTATTTATTGAATTTTAATTAGGAAATAAAATACAACATCCACAAACTTGTTACAATTATTTAACATATATTTTTCAAAATACCTTTGTTAAATAATTTTATAGTTATATATAGACCATGTTTTTGGTTTAGAAAAAAAAACTTTATGTATTAAGACTAAAAATCGGTAACAGAAATATAATTTTATTACTTTTTATGTTAAATATACGATCATCAAATATTTAAAATAGATCTTTCTGTTCACCTAATTTATAATTTTTGACTTTGGTTCTATTTCAATCTTTAGAAACAAAAGCAACATGCATTCCTCGTTTTCGCTAAATATTTAATAATACTTCACCTCAAAAGCAAGCTTTGTCAGTCCTGGTTCCTAGCTTCACTTGTGAACAAAGCGGTCTTCAAGATTCTCAATCACTAAAGTTGGTATTTATATGCATCATCCATGTACCAAGATCATCAACACTTGCTTACGTACGATCCCATAATTAACTACTAGTTATACTAAACCACGAAATCCAACAATGGCCAAGCACGACGAAATCAATGCTAGCAGCATCGAGAACCAAGAGGAGGCATGGGTTATCGACTTGATAGAAAAAGCCATGCCACCACCTTCGTCATCCACACGAATCCACAGAGTCCCGGAGAGTGTGTTGAGAGAGATGGGCGATTACGAGAAATACTATGTTCCAAAGGTTGTTTCCATCGGTCCATACCATTATGGCAACCCGAAGCTCCAGTCTATCGAGAAACTCAAGCCTGTTTTCACCAAGGAGCTCCTCTCACGTTCTGAGCATAACGAGCGCCTTAGCAGCTTGTACAAATATCTTGGGGCAGCGAATATGGTGAAAGAGTTAAGAGGTTTCTATGAAGAGAAGTCAACAGACCATCTCTCCGATAAGGAATTCACTACGATGATGTTGATGGACGGATGTTTTATTTTGTATTATATTCTATTTATCTACGGAGAGAAACCTGGAAGTTGTCGAGAGCTGAGAAGCCATCAGATCGTGTTAATCAACCGAGACTTGTTCTTGCTGGAAAACCAAATTCCGTTCAAAGTTCTAAACAATGTGATGGATTTGATGAAACTTGATAGGCGTGACAAGTTTCTATTGTTCTTCGCTGACAACATTTTGTCACGGAGGCAGATAAGAGGGTGGTTCCTTTTCGGAAGCAGTTCAACCCAAACTTATCAAAATTCTGGAAGAGAATCACATGGAAGCTACGAATTCGTAGGTGATCATCTACTCCATCGTCTGCATACTGGGCTTACAGAACCAAGTCCCATGAATGAATCCCACAGGAATTCCTACGGTCATAAAAATACTTTTCATAACGTTAGAGAACTTGAATATGTCGGGATCCATTTCAGGCCGAGTAGCGTTATGTCTTTGGCTCATGTGGAGTTTGCTAGACGGTGGTGGAGGTTGTCAGCATATGTAAAACTACCTCCGATAACCGTGGACGATTCCACCAAGCCCATGTTATTAAACTTAATAGCTTATGAAATGTGCGCAGAAGACGCACATGATGCATGGGTTACCTCCTACATATGTCTCCTGAATTCTCTCATCGATCACCCTGAGGACGTGAAGGCTCTTCGTAAAGCTGGGGTCCTTGATAACTCCCTAGGGAATGATCAAGAAGTTGCCACACTCTTCAAAGAAATATGCACCGGTTTGGTGCCAAACAATGCAACATATTCGAAAGCCAAAGACCTAATCCGAAGGCATTATGAAAGCTTGGGGAACACAAGTCTTTGTGAACTCAGGCACGAGTACATCACTAACCCAATGGCATTCATAACTGTGTTAGCTCTTTTTCTTACTGTTGTTCAAACTTTCTTCGCTATCTGGAGTATCAAAGGAAAGTGATCAGATGATCTATGCATGTTTTTGAAGATGGATCATCGATTATTAGATCCAGCGATGATGGCTTTTCTTACTGCATTTACATTGTTTATCAGTTTTGTTTTGGTCGTGCATGTTGTGTTGTGCTTTTGAAAGAGATAATAATTGCGTATGTGTTGTGTGTTTCCACTTGTATTCGGTAACAATAACTTTTTCTAAATATATGATCTATGAGTAATATAATCATTAGCTAATGATCTCATCAAACTAATCCGATGTCTATTATTGAAACTAGAGATGGGACCTCTATTTAGGACCGGCAATTCTCAACACGACACGCGACACGACCCGCGAAATAAACGGGTTTTGGTTGAGTTTTTCAACCCGTCAACCTGCCAACACGTTTATTAAACGGGTCATATATGGGTTTCTCAAAAAATAAATGGGTCGACACGCCAACCCATTAAAAAATATATTTTTTATTAAAAAAATATATTTTTTATTTTTAAATGTATTGATATTTTGACTTGTGGTCCTAACTCATAAGGTCGTAAGTAAGTTTGTAACCAATTGATTTTCCTCATTTTTTCCCTAATCAAATGAGGTATCGGCGTATGTCTGTATAAGCGATTGAGGCAATGAACATGTTTCTATAAATGTTTTTAATTTTCATTTGGATGTTTAAGACTTTAAGACTAAAGTAGTTAAGTGTCCAAAATTCAAATATATTTGCATCAACCATCAAGAATTTATTCATGTTTAATTGTTAATTTTATTTATGGAATCTGACCCACGAACCCAATACCCACAAACCCGCCAACCTGTATAAATAAATGGGTTCGTGGGTCATATATGAATTTATATTCCAAACCCGTCAACCCGTAATCTATATATTTAAATGGGCCGTTTTTGGGTTGACATATTTTGACCCGCCAACGCGTGACACGCCAACCCAAACACGACACGATTGCCAGGTCTACATGTATTCGGTAACAATAACTTTTTCTAGATATATGATCTATGAGTAATATAATCATTAGCTAATGATGTCATCAAACTAATCCGATGTCTATTATTGAAACTAGAGAAGAGACCCATGCTTTGCATGGGTCCCGAGAGGTTTTGTTTTTTATTTGATTGTGTAAACATGGTGCATTTTGATTGGTACTTTGCCAATAAAGCTTTCTATTAATTTTTCTTTACACATAGAAAGCAAAGTACATAAAAATTCTTACAAATTCATACCTATAAGGTATGTTCCTATTATGGTTAAAAACTATAAGTATGTTGCTAATTTCTGAGTTATAAGTGATGTTCCTGCAACTGTTAGTAAACAGTGTGCTACAAAATCCTCTGAGCTTCTTGCTTCTGCAGCAACCTGAAAATGCCTGAGAAGGAATTTCCCACCAAGAGAAAGAAAACCCAATCCACCTAAAGCTTTTAAACTTTCTTTCGCAAGCATTGGTACTGTTTAAAGAATAGAGCAAAAAATTCACCTAAATTGAAAAAGAAACAACTCAATTTGAAGGAAATAAAGAAAACCCACACAAACAAAATTTAAAAAAAAAAAAAAAAAAAAAAAGTAAAGAAAAGCAAGTACTAGCTTTGAAGAGTAGATAAAAGAGAGGAAGACGTTGGGCAAGAAAGCACAACAGATTGATGGGTTTTTGGTAACACGTGATTGGAGAGTGTAATCCACATTCCACAACAATGTGAGAGGGCTTTCTATACCTGAGCAGATAAAACAGTAATATGTGTCAAAAAGAAATTAGATTTTAAGAAGCATAATAAAATCTATTATTTGAATTGAACATATTAACTTTTCAGCAGAAAGAGCATCCATGTAGACTGCATGAATTAAATTCTCAAATGGTGTAATATTTAATAAGGCAGGCGATTATACCTTTGGAGAAATGTTTTGAAGAAATCCAGAGATGGGTTATGGAGGATTGAAGCTAGGAAATCATCCATTACCCTAGTCTAAGCTAGGATTGAAGCTGAATCACGATGTATATGATGAAAATGGTTTTGCATATATACAACATCAATTGTCTAAGACCTAGAGCCTGAGTTTCTTATCATGGAATCGACCAGTCTACCAAGAGAAAGAAGCGTGAATGGTGTCTCTGATCATGAAATCGACCTCTTCCTTATTCATCGATGTTCTTAGGAGTATCATCATCTTGAAACCATTAACCTGGAACCATCAATTTTATATTGTAAATATTGAGTGTGAACATCATTTAACTTCATGGGCCTGTAATTGAGGTTATATCTGAAAATTTGTTAGTTTAGAATAAGTCAATAACACTTACATAATTATTTCAGGATCAATCTAATTAAGATGTAAATGGTGCAAAATATGCAACATACTGTGTCCATCTTCAACCCTTTGTCTTTCAAATCTTTCCGAAAGCAAACTCTAACTGTACAAATTTCGACCATTCAAGTCCAACAATTCCAACAGATAGTAACATAAAAAAAGAGTATAATAGTAGCAAGAAATTTCATCTTTTTGTCCTTTTCAATTTTTATGTTCTAGAGGAAAGGGCAAACTTGGAATTTACCAAGAGTATGATATAAAGGGTATTCTAGTCATTTCATAATAGTTGCACTATGTCGTGAGAATTGGCATTTGTATGAGAGTTTTTAAAATTCTAACCTTGGATACATGAAGCTTATGTGTTCTTCGCCATAGACGTATTCTTGTAGCATCTACGGGTGATACTTTAACACCATAGTGACAACGAAATTCTTTACAAAAAAAGCATTTATATTTTCAAAAATAAGAGTTGCGGTTGAATAAAAAGATTAGAAAAAAATTGATAAACCTGGTTGAAGCATTCTATCGAGCAGTTGGAATGCAGCATGAAACTTTCTTCGGATATTCACAAACACAATTGTTTTTAACAACTGTATAATTTATAATTTCGATACAACAGGCACCGATTCTTCCCCAAAATTCATGAATTTACCAGACCTGCTGAAATGCAAAACACACCAATGAAATTGAAGATGAAAGCCAAACAATATTGAAGTGCAGACTTATAAAATGGATCTTAGAAAGCTCAAAATCATGGTTGCAGAGACGAAAATCGTGTGTAATAACTTGTTTACCCAAAAGAAGTGGTTCACCCAAAGAAGCAGTGAACCAACAAATCCCAAAAAAAGGCAAACGGTGACCAGAAGAGAAAGTGAACGGATATACCCAGATACTTCAAAAGAAAGAAAAATAGAACAGAGGTTTCCAAATTAACCTGAAAACTCGTGTGCAGATATTGCTTTTATTCGATTCCGAAATCCAAAAAAGTGAAGAAATTAGGGCTCATTTAGAGTGATGTAGTCGTCGACTACTGATTTTTTGGAAGGCTATTGGGATTATTTTGGGTTTCAATTTGTTGCTGAAGGAGATGATAAGAGGAAGATGGTAAACGGAGTGAAGAAATCAGAGGAAGTGTGCTATGAGGGCCCGATAGCTTCCTTTTGCAAGAGATGATTTGCCCTTTGAAGATGGCGATGCTCATGACGAAGCTGAGGTTAGGGTTCTGAGAGGCCTCGCCGAAGGGTTGTCTTGGCAGCAGGTGGGGTGACGTCTGAGATGGCAGGTGCCGATGGAGCCATGGTGATGTAAGGAGGAGCGGTGGTGATCGACTCCAAAGAGAATCCGTTGAGTACGATAGGCCAAGTGAGAAAAAAAGGTGAGACGGAAGAAGATGAAAGGAGGTGAGGCGGTGCCAATCTCTGTAACAAAACTGGAAAATCAAACGCGTATATATCGGTGAAGACACGTGCAATCAAAAAAAAACCCACCAAACCAAAAAAGAAAAAGAAATAAAAAAAATGGAAGTGGTCCGATAGGAATAGATTATTGTTTGAATCACAACCATCCTTTTATATATTTATATAATATAATTATCTTTATATTAATAAAAGAGTAGTTTTATTGTCATGTTACATCTTAATTAATGTGTTGCCACTTGTCAATTTATTAGTTTTCCATTTTAAATTTATTAGACCTCCTCATTAATATGATGCTACTTGTCAATGTATTTATTCTCTATTTTAAATTTTAAATTTTTTATTATTGTTTTCATTAATTAATAAATAAAAAATATTTAATATATTAAAAAATTAACATATTTATTTGAATCAACGATTATAATTTCACATAACTAATAAAAAATCTCTTAAATTAATAATTTATATAAAATAATTGATTAATAATTTTGAATTTTTACTATAAAAATTTAATTAATTTTATAACCGTGGTTCCCACGGGTTATAAACTAGTATAATATATTTACATTAGTATGTATGCATAATTATTTCTTGTTGCAAGATTTGGTTTCCTTGTATGTCTTGTTTTACATGGATAAATCAGGGAAAGAAAATAATTTTTTTCCGCATATATCAAGCGAATTATATATATATATATATATATATATATATATATATATATATATATATATATATATATATATATATATATATATATATCCTAAATAAAGAACAATAAAATCATATTTGCACAATGTGATCTCTAAATATTGTGTATAAAATATCATATTGAATCTTATTTTTATTTTTCTCATCATTTATTATAATTTAAAATTATTATAATTAATTATAAGATAATTTGAAATACCAATGATACCCCTCTTCTCTTTTCCTTCACACGTATCATTCAAACAAGCACATGTGATCCATTTCTTCTCCATATTTGTGAGTTTCATATCTGGAAAGATACCAGCATTTAATATCAATCTAGCTTTTCCAATTCAGTTTCTTGAAACATTCACTTTCAATTCCCATTTCCTACGTTCCTTCCACTTACCAAGAAGAAACTCAAACAATACATAATCTGCTATGAAAACAGCCTTTTCATTTTTGTCGCCTGTTTCCACATGAACTAGTGCATAGATGGTGTCTGGTTTCCCTCATAATTGTCAATTCCAAAGTTCCCATTTGTACCAAAAGAAGGGAAACTGGGATTTTCAAATTTTGTGATTGAGAGAATGGCATATAGAGAGAGTACATAGAAGAGAGATGGAGTTGTGAAGTTTCATTTGATACTCGAAGAAAAGGGAGAGAGGAAAACGTGAAAGGCATGGGTAATGGGTTGAATTCATGCGCATGAAAGGAGAGGACCGGCGGTTTTTATTGGTTGAGATTTATGGAGAAGGAAGATGTTTGACTCTGGTTAAAGCTCCGGTGATAGGTTCGACCTCTCAACCAGTTCTGGTGGTTAATATTTCCAATAAATGACCACATAAGGTGGCAAAGGGTGTTTGTAAGCCATTAGAGGAGTGACATTTGTGACTCTAGAAGCTCCAAGACAACAAGGTCAACAAGGAATTCAAAGGTATGATTCTAGATCTGTTTCAATGTTGTTATTTAGCCTAAATAGCTATTAGAAGTCTTGGATTCAAAGCATGTTTAATTAGAAAGCCTAGATCCGAGCATTAGGGTTTTGCATGCGCACATAGGAAAGTTCTTATGGCTAAAACCCATCAGTGGTATCAGAGCCTAGCTTGGTTTTCTTTAAATTGTTGCTTGATTAACTGAAACAAACCTGCAAAATTCGATTTTTGGTTTCTGAGTCATGGACTCGGCGAGTAGGCCTGACTCGGCGAGTCCCTTTGTGCACTCGGCGAGTCCAGGCGTCAGGAATGGCAAGATTCGGGATTTCTTTGTAATTATCTTATCTAAACTTTCCATAAACTAATTAGATCAATGTTAATTCGTTTTTCTGATAAATATAACTGCAATCTTGATCTAATTAAAGATATTTATCATATAATAAAATATTTAATTTCCTTATATGATAATTAATTAATTATTTTGATTATTTTGGTAATTATCTTAAAAGAAATCTTGAATAAATCAAATATAGATAATTAGGATATTAATTGTTAATTGGAATTATTTGTTATTTGATCCTCCATGTTTTAAATGTTTAAAACTTGTCCTCAAGTTTTGAAATTTATATTTGTGATTAAAAGTTTTAATTTAGACAACTTAAATTTCAAAACCCTAGATTTTAAAAGGTTTAAAATACAACCCTATACTAATATGATATTACTAGTATAATATATATATATATATATATATATATATATATATATATATATATATGTATAACTAAATGCTAGTCTTACCGTTAGTAGGCCTCATTCACGAAGCCGATCTATAAGGTGGGTATAAGGTTGCGGCCTATAAAATGGCGCTTAATGGGTGTACACTCACACCCACCGCTTGCTTGATTGGTGGAGGGTCGTTAGCCGAACGGGTAGGATAGGGCAACCTCATCCTCTCATTAAAAGTATAATAAGAAATATAAAGTAACTACACATATTTTTAGAATTCCCAATCTTAGTTACTTTAGGAAAAGTGAATCGATGCAATCCCATGAAATTACACTTTGCACCTTGCTAAGAAGTTAGTGGAGCGTGTGTAGTTTACCGGCACACTAATTGGTTCTAAGCGAAGGTGGCAAAGGGTGATTCATTGTATATCATAGTTCGATGGAGCGTGTGTGGTTTACCAGCACATCGAATAGGTGATCGTTACAATGAAGGCACCATGTGAATTTGCATGGTAATTCACACCCGCTTTGTGATCCTCGGCATCCCAGTCACAAACTAGAGGGGCATATCGAGATTTAAACATGCCATTGAATAGTTTCAATGAATCTCATCCGAACCTAGGAATTCTCAAAAACACTTAGGACTAATAGTTTAAGTTTTTGTGATGGAGAATTAGTGAATCGTCATTCACTTACCTTCAATTTATTTGCATGTTAGATTACGGCATCCCTTTTCTAATATGTAAATGTCATTGTTGGATCCTAGCCCTAATTTTTCTTATTGGGTGATAATTAGGGATTCATATTCTAATCTATCTTTGTCCTTTTCTAATTATAGATGTCGAACGCAAACAACGCTGCTGCTAGTTCTTTCACGTTGATGAGCCTTTGCCAAAAGGTCACTTTCGATGAAACGAACTTTAGCGAATGGATAAGATACATTCGCACCATTGCTCGCTATGAGGACAAGGAGTATGTCCTTGATGAGAAGCTCGAGAAAATCAACACCGAAATCGCTACTCCAGCCGAAATCACCGCCTTTGAAACTCATGAGCGAGATGCAACGAAGGTACATTGCATCATGATTGCTACCATGAACTCCGAATTCCAAAAGTCCTACGAGGACATGTACCCGTACGAGATGCACCAAGACTTATTGGAGAGGTACCACCAAAACGCGAGACAAGAGCGGTATGAGATTTTCACTAACATGATTTCCGCGAAGATGGGTCATGGAGAATCTCTTACCGTGCACTTGCAAAAGATGCAAAGGTATGTCGATCACCTTCGCAAGTTAAATGTTGACTTCGGGGAAGACTTGGCGATCGACATGGTGCTTCACTCTTTGCCTCCGATGTACAACCAGTTTAGGATGACCTACCACATGAACAAAGAGGAGGTACCTCTTGGCTATTGGTCAAGGAAAGGGAAAGAAGAGGAAGGCTTCATCGAAGAACTATCGCAAGGTCAAAGCCCGAGATGGTGCCTCTTCTAGTGGGACCAAAGTTGATCCCACTAAGCCCTGTCCTAACCCGAAGGAGGCAGAGTGCCACCACTGCCACAAGATAGGACATTGGAAGAGAAGCTGCCCAGAGTACCTGCAAGCAATCAAAGAAGGAAAGATCAAGCCATCTTTTGCAGGTATATACGCAATTAAATCTAACGATTCTAATCATGCTATTTCTTGGGTCCTTGATACCGGTTGTGGTTATCACATTTGTTCTAATTTGCAGGGACTAAGAAGAAGTAGGGATGTGGAGCAAGGAAGGATCAATCTAATCATGGGGAACAGAAGATCGTCGCCTGTAACCAAGATTGGAGTGTATTCTTTAGTGCTTAGGAATAGTTTGGTTTTAGATTTGAACAATTGTTGCTATTCGCCAGAAATGGCAAGAAACATCATTTCATTTCATGGTTTATATAGACAAGGATTTAGATTTTCTTTTAATAATGAGAATGGTTCTATTTTGATGGTGTCTTTTACTTTGAAGCTATACCATGTAATGGAATATATGAAACTGTTATGATTGTTGATAACTTAGGAAATGATGTTTTGAATATTGATTCTTCCACTAGTATGGATAAAGCATCCTTGTGGCATTGTCGTCTTGGACATGTCAACAAGAAACACATAGCCCAACTCCAAAAGGATGGAGTGTTGGAGTCATTCGACCTTAGGGAAGATGACACATGTGAATCTTGTTTACTTGGAAAGATGACTAAATCACCCTTCACAAGTACATGTGAAAGAGGTAAAGGTCTATTGGACCTAATACATACCGATGTATGTGGACCATTTAGATCAACCACGAAGGATGGGAACCACTTCTATGTGACTTTTGCAGATGACTATAGTAGATATGGGTATATCTACTTAATCAAGCAAAAGTCAGAAACCTTTGAAAAGTTCAAAGAGTTCAAGACCGAAGTGGAGAATCAATTGGGCAGGAAAATCAAGATGCTTCGATCCGATCGAGGAGGAGAGTACCTAAGTCTTGAATTCCACGATTATCTCAAGGAGTGTGGAATAGTTTCGCAATTGACGCCTCCTAGGACACCGCAGTTGAATGGTGTGGCAGAAAGGCGTAATCGAACCTTATTGGATATGGTTCGCTCTATGATGAGTCGTGCTTCACTACCTATCTCTTCTTGGGGGTATGACTTAGAGACTGCCACCCATATCCTTAACCGAGTCCCTACCAAGAAGGTTGCCAAAACACCTCACGAGATGTGGACAGGGAAAGCTCCCTCGTTGGCACATATCAAGGTTTGGGGTTGCGAGGCTTTCGTAAGACGAGATACTCACGACAAGCTTGAACCTCGAAGTGAGTGATGTATTTTCATCGGCTACCCGCAAACATCCTTTGGATATCTCTTCTATAGACCGAAGGACAATGTGGTCTTCGTTGCGAGGAGAGGAGTTTTCCGAGAGCAAGAACTCATAAGCCAAGGAGACAGTGGGAGGCAAATCGAACTTGAAGAGATTCAAGAATCGATAGATGAAGGAACCTCTACCGCTGGCACTCAACCCGAGGAGGAAACCCCAGTTGAACCAATTGACGAATCCTTACCTCTTAGACGTTCCGATAGAGTTAGAGTTCATCCCCAGTTTTATTGCCTTCATATTACTACCGAAGGGGACACGTATATTAGTGATAGTACACTAATAAATCTTGATGAACCTAATAGCTATAAGGAAGCCATGGCAGGCCCGGAGTCTGCGAAATGGAAAGAGGCAATGGATAGCGAGATCCAATCCATGTATGATAACCAAGTTTGGAATTTGGTTGACTATGTGCCCGGACGTAAGACCGTTGGGTGCAAATGGATCTTCAAGAAGAAGACCGATGTGGATGGAAACGTGCACACATATAAAGCGCGATTGGTTGCGAAGGGCTTTACTCAAACTCCTGGAGTTGACTATGATGAGACCTTCTCACCAGTTGCGAAGATTAAATCTATTAGAGTGATGCTAGCTATTGCCGCATTTCATGATTATGAGATTTGGCAAATGGATGTCAAGACCGCTTTCCTTAACGGGAAGTTGGCTGAGGATGTTTACATGGCTCAGCCTGAGGGGTTTGTGGATCCGAAGCATCCGAATAGAGTGTGTAAGCTTGAGAAGTCCATTTATGGACTTAAGCAAGCATCTCGCAGATGGAATCTTTGCTTCGATGAGAAAGTCAAAGAGTTTGGATTTGTACGAAGTGAAGACGAGTCTTGTGTATATGTCAAAGCCAGTGGGAGTATAGTAAGCTTTCTCGTTCTATATGTCGATGACATATTACTCATAGGAAACGACATCCCGACTCTGCAGGAAGTTAAGTCCTGGCTCGGGAAGTGCTTCGCTATGAAAGTACAAAGGCACCATCTTGCATGCAGTAGCCATGGATGGCAACAATCAGATCTTGCATATTGGTTATGGAATTTGCCCAAAAGAGACTACGGATTCTTGGACATGGTTTCTTGAAAAACTACATGAATGTATTGGTGATGTGGAAGGTCTGATAATGGTCACAGGTAGGGCACCCTCAATTGCTATAAGTATTCAAAATGTTTTTCCAAATGCCCAAAATGGATATTGTAATTTTCATCTAATAGGAAACATAGTCCGCACCTTTGGAAAAAACATAAAAAACAACGATTTTGTTTTGGAAGCTGGTAAGAGCTTACAAAACCACTGAGTTTGAATTCTATTGGCGGAGACTTCGTAATATAAGAGATGATGTAGCGACATATCTCAGTCAAATTCCACGTGAGAAATGGACCAGAGCGTATTGCCCTACCACAAAGTATGATTATATGACCTCAAATAGTGCGGAGTCCATGAATGTTGTATCAAATAAAGCAAGGAAGTTGCATATATTACCACTTCTTGAGTTCTTTCGCACACTTATGCAGAAATGGTTTTACAAACGGTGGATGGTTGCAGGTATGATTATGTTTAATTTTAAATTATATGATAAATGACATATATAATAATATATGTTTGTTTTAACAGAAAAAAGTACAACAATACTTACGAAGTGGACTGAAGATATGGTTAAAAAAATAAATATGGGTTTCAAGGATGGTCAGTATCCGGTGTTGACAATACAACGTATCAAGTGCATGACTTCAAAAGTGGCGGCATAGTGAATTTGAGGGAAAACACTTGTTCTTGCAGATATTGGCAACTAACTGGTTTGCCATGTGGTCATGTGATAATGGTTTTAACGCACTTGAAAAATGATCATTGTGGGTATATGGCTATAGATGCTTATAAAATTGAAACATATCAAAGAACGCACGAGCAGGCCATATACCCTCTTTCGGAACTTAGTGATTGGAAAGTTCCGGATGACCTTATGGTTGTTAACCCTCCTGTGATGGAAATAGGTCAGGCCAGCAGACCAAAAAACACCAATCGTATTCCCTCTCAAGGTGAGGAACCAAAAATAAGAACGTGTTTTAGATACTATAGCACAACTCATAATGCAAGGACGTGTAAGGAAATCATTCCAAAGAAACAAAGTAAAAGTAAAAAACGTATTGGAGCGTCAAGGAGTGGGCAAAAGCGACAAGAGAGAAACCAACGCAATCGACCGAAAACTAATGGCAGCATGAGCTAGAGAACCAATGGACGCAACATACCGAACAATAATGGCAGCAGTAGCCAGACAACCAATGGACACAACAGATTGAACATCAATGGCAGCAACAGCCAGACAACCAATGGACACAACAAACTGAACATCAATGGCAGCATGAGCCACATAACCAATGGATGCAAGGGACCGAATACCAACCGCATGAAGAGCCACAAAACCAATGGCAAGGTTGCACCGAGTACCAATGGCAGCAAGAGCCAAATAACCAATGGACACAAGCGACAGTAAACCTAGGGACACAAGCAACAAAAAACCCATTGACGGAATACGAAAACAGATCAAAACTTTTGTGGTTCGATTTGAATGAATGAAGTTTATTTCAAAGTATGTTTATTATGAAGGTTGTATTTTTATGTTTTTTAAAGTATATTTTGTAACCTACTTAAAGTATGTTTATTATTCAGAATACCGGTATGTGTAATTTTATAAAAAAAAAACATGAAATATTTGTATAATTTTTATTAAACACATAACTTTTTTAAACGGGTAATTAAATAAGAAAAACGAAAAACGAAAACAAATTTTTTTTACATAATACCTTATGTGATTAAAAAAAATAATAATATTAATAAAGGAAAACAAAAAAAATTAAAAAAAAACAAAAACAAAAAAAAAAATAAAAAAACCAAGATCTGCAGAGGTGTTCATGGTTCTACAGAGGTGTTTATGGTTCCGTAGAACCCTCTCTACGAAATTTGTGGTCATTTTCCAAAATCCTCATGTCATTTTCTTCAAAACCCCACTCCTTTTTGGTTATTTTTCGAAATTTCTCAAAAAAAATGCAAACAAGGTAAAAAGATAGTTTATTAGATTTATTGAAAAAGTATATCATATTTAGGCTTATAGCCCTGAAACATAATGCAAAGCTCAATGAAAAAAAAATCTTATAGCTCTTAGCGGACTTGACTGTTAGTTTTCACTTTTCACAGTGTATTACACCAAGCGACAAAAAATAAGGAAGTCGACTTAAACCTCAACAATCTTATTTCAGTAAAAATCAAAGACTTTTCCAAACATGAAAACTTATTTTAACATGGATAACATTTTTTAACAATGTTAAACTAAATATATTTTTTAGCAAATATAATTATTAGGTAGAACTGCATAATTCTAGGTTCGTAACACAAAAATACAGTTGATGATCGTTAAAGCTCCAAACATCGACTGATCGACAAACACAAAAATCATATCTCTATGTATTTATAACATAAAACACTATTTACTCAACCTCGTTAACTTAATACCAGAAAAAAAAAACCCCAAAATATAAATAAACAGCCTTCAAACCAACATTTCGAACATATAAATATATAGAAAAAATAAATAAATAATATATATTGAGATGAAGATGTGTATTATTGATCTTCTTCTACCCTAACACAAATTTTCTACTACAGGTAGTTAAGTACCATTGATCTAGATTAAGATCCAGAAACTACAACAAAAATCAAAGAGCTAAAACTTCATTCTACAGAAAAAAGCAAAATCAAACACATAAGAACCCTACATCTAGACAAAGTCGAATATTTTCCTCAGGATGATGAAGATAAAAGTTGGTTGTGAGGCTAGATCTAGAAGTTGAAACAGTGGTGAAGTTGCGATGGCGTTTGATGTTCGTTGTTGAGAGTTAAGGTTGCGGAAAAGAGATAGAAGGCAGTGGCGTGGCAGCGCTTGGGCTCCTGTGGTGATAAAGTTTTGGTGGCAAAGGTCATTGTGGTTATAGAGGATATAGAGGGGATTATGAAGACGATAGTGTATGTTGGATGGTGGAGTGGTGAGAACGGTTGATAATGGGTTGAGATATCAATAGTAACAGGCTAGGGTTTCTATAGATTAAATGGAGAGAGTACATGGTTTTATAGAGGAAAATTAGGATTGTCAAATAAGCAAGATGCAAGTAATCCCGAATCCATGTATATGTAACTGATGTGTTTCTTTAAGCATAGTTGGTGGTAAATGCTGCTTTTAAGAATTTACATTTTATATATTTGTTTTTCATTGGTTAATTTTATTTCACATGGATTAACATCTTTCAACCAACACCAATGGAATTGTATGTAATGGATCAAAATCACTCCCTTTGTTTTTAAGACTTGGTCTTAATTTTGAGTGGGCCCCAAATTATATACCCATTATAAGATAGTATATATATGGATACTTACAATATCTCCTAAGGATCTGTCTTGACGTAGGCTTCCTGGAAGTGTTTGAATTTGAGTTTTGAGAGGAAAGTGAGACTTGATCTTTGAGAGGAAATGGAATGAAATATGTTAATTGTGAATGAGGTTTGAAATGGTTCCTAATTCGTGGCTTATATATAGGAGGATAAAGGATAATGAAGTGACATTTACATTGGTATGTGTAATTATCTTCTTAGGAATTAATTCTACCAATCAAGTGGCACCACTTGACCAGTTTATGGTGATTTCGGCCAAGGTATGACCAAAATCACCTTGATTTCGGTTTGGCATCACCCAAGGAAGGGCGATTTTGGTCCATGAGGTTTAAATCATGCATGATTCGGTCCTTGTGAAGAGATTTCGGCCATCTGCTTTAGATTCATGAGGATTTCAGCCATAGAATGAGATTTCAGTCCAACAAGGCCGAAATCTCTTGGTTTTAGATTCCAAAACCGAAATCCTTTTAATAATATATAATTTCATGCTTTTTGATTTATCTATTTGACTTGTGTTGACTCCTTGGATTCATTGATGGCCTGTTCACTTTATTTGATTTTTAAAGGTTCATTACAACATGGCTTTCAATTTATATATATTTACTTATACAAATGATGCCTTTTGGCTATAGATGATCCATTGCAACAAGTGTAACACCCAAATTTTCAAAATAATTTTTCACATTTAAAAACACACTTTCATTCATAATTGCTATAAAAATATCATTGTATCACATAATCAATTCATAACATCACATCCCAAGATCATAATACGTAAAAGTTCCTCATGTGTGTACTGATCAAGCCGGCGCTTTCCTACGATCCTCACTGGTACCTGAAAACACATAACACAACACTGTAAGCATAAATGCTTAGTGACTCTCCCAAAATACCACACGCAACACATATTAGCCACTCGAGGCTATATCTCTGTTTGACCCTCTGGTCAATGTCTCTCAGTGGAACCCTCCAGTCCCATAACTCTGTGTGCCCTCTGACCCTAACTCTGTGGACCTTCCGGTCCTAACTCTGTAACATACATAACATAAATCACATAGAAATCACATCATCCAAAAGTATACAAAATACTCTGTCATAAAACTCTAATTACCACTCTAGGTAAGGTATAGTGAGAAGACTCACCTCGAGTATCTCGGTAATCTCGAACTCTGTGAAATCGGGTCTAGCCTCCACCTAATCATATGAAATAAACACTATAAATCAATACATCTCTCAAGGCTAGACTATTCCCTCTCTTAGTACTCTCAGAAGGGTAAAAGACCATTTTACCCCTCTCATGGCTCAAAGACCCTAAAGTTGACCAAACCCTAAAATTCAACAAAAGTCAACTCTCCAGGTTACGCTGTGCATACCAAACATGTATGTTGGGCGTACCCGGTGTCCTCACAGAAACGGGGTGCGTGACCCCTTACGCCACGCGTACTGGGATTACGCCCCGCGTAACTCCCAGTTTCAGACTCTAAGCTCTTGAGGTCTTAAATAGTTAAGACCCACGTCCAACTTCTAGATCTGACCATTTCTAAGCCTCTTAATCCATAAAGTTGGTGACTTTAAGCCTTTGCATGGCTGGACAAGTCACTAACACCCATAACATTCCATTTCCCAACTCTAGAAAGCTCATAACTCAAGCATGACCTCATAACAACGACCAAGATGGAAACTTTATGGATCTATAACACAAATATCACTGAAATGGGACAAATCTAGGTCCATGGAGTACATTACACTCATAAAGTCTCCAACTTTGGGACTTTTAACCCTAGAAATGGTCCATGCAACATCAAACCAAAAAAGAGGAAAGTTTTGAACTTTATACCTCTAGATGAAGCTCCTTTCTCTGTAGATCTTAGATCCAAACTTGCACTTCAAGCCCTAGCCTCCACAAGCTCTTCTCCTTCTTCTTCACTAACACACCAAGACACTTTTAGCTCCAAAACACACACACTCAAGCTAAGGACGATGGAAGGGTCTCTCTTAGGGTTTCACTCTCTGATATGGAGGCTAAGAAATGAGCCTTAGCATCCTTTAAATAGTGCACAAGCCAAACATTTAGGGTTTGCATCTGGACCCGTTACGCCTAGCGTAACCCTGGGTACGCCCAGCGTACCCGGCGAGTCCTCGTCCAAATTAAGCGCATGAGTATGCGCAGCGTACTCATTTGCTACAAGAACTCTCTCAAGGGACCAATCTTGACAACATGACAAAATAGAAGGGTTAAATAGCTTTACCTAAATTTCAGGATGTTACAACAAGGTTAATATGTGGTTTCACTTAAACATAATATTGTTGGATTAGTGTTTAAGTCTATAACTATAATTGGTATATACTTGACCCGATTTGGCATGGTCCATTTGGG